TTTACAGCAAGAAAGCATGCCTAAAATCGATAAAATGTGAGAGTAACTACTTTTACATTATTTAAAAAAAGTTCTTTTAGAGTTTCTTTTTGACTCTTTTGGGGTATGTTTTACAAAACAGGATTTTATTATAAATGTTGTCTTTTTAATTTTCTGTTCATAGTCTTCACACAAATATTTAACAGCACAACTGTTTTCAACTTTGACATTAAGAAATTTTTCCTAAATCAGCATGTTCAAATGATTTCTGAAGGATCATGTGACAGGAGAAGACTGGAATAATAGCGGCTGAAAAATTCAGCTTTGAATCACAAGAATAAATTACATTTTAAAATCGATAGAAAACATATATTTTAAATTGTAATAATATTTTAAATCTTATGTTTTATAATATACACTCCAGTACTGCAAATCATGCAACTTCATTGTAGTTTTCATTCTAAAAATGTATTTTATGTTGATCAAGATGATGCAAATACATTTCCTCCACGTTGGATGCTCATCCAAAAAGTCAGTCTGTGACGTTTACTTATAATTTTTTTTTGTTTTTTTTTGTTTACAATAGAAAACATCCTGCATTCCATAAAGGTCACAAGTGTGACCTTTAACACTATTTTGAAGGAGAACCTACAATATATTCTAATGGTGTCACAATAGTAACCATAGCATTTTAGCATAAACTGTTTTCCTAAGCGAGACAAAGGTCTGTATACCGAGCGGTTCAGACGAGGATAGTACAAATTACAATTGGGCCAGTGATGATGACTTCTTTTCAATGTCAGTGAATTGACCGGCCCAGAATGGAGCATGACATAAAGCTCCAACTATCTTTTCTGACAGGCTCGTCTTCATCTCAGTAACTCTTACATTTTCATTCCCTCCTCTGACCTCAATCAAGGCCTTTTGCTTTTATCATAGCGCAATTTCCATCACAGATATAAACTCATTTGCGTTCATGAAGGTCAATGACTGAATGAACACAAACGGAGGACGGAACCGCGCTGGAAAACCTACTGGCGAGGAAACACACGACACATTGTGCAGCACACACACACACACACACACGTAACAAGTAATACTGCACTCCTCCTGTAAATATACCCTTCCCAGAGCAACCACTAATGAATGTTAATTTCAGTCCCCTGGTGCTGATCCAATATGCTGATAAAGAGAGAGTGTGTGTTTCTTTGTGTGTGTGTGTGTGTGTGTGTGTGTGTGTGTTTGAGGCCCGTGGGGCCACCTAAGCATCTCGTGGAGCGGCGCTTTCAAATTGAACATTAATAAAATGGACCAGAACGCCTGGCTTTCTTCTCTCGTCTGTAATTAACGAGTTGATTATTAAAATGAAGCTGTAGATCATTCCCTTAAGCATGCTGATATCATAGCACAGAGTGAGGAGCTCCATGCAGATGCTCTCACAAGGGTAACTGTAGTGGAGCTGCTCTGTATCAGGTGCAACTATCAGTGGCACTCGGGGGCTCTCACGAGACCAGCGCCATCCCTGACCTCTGCTGCGGTTTCCTCTCTCTACTCGATTTCCAAAATCCTCCAGAAATAGAAGAAAATATTGATATTCCACCTTGTGTGGGGTTATAGTATCATCTTGCTTGTCCACCAAGTGATAAGATGCATACATTGAAGCCTGCATTTATAGTCCACATGGTAGCTACATGGTCAAAATGTTTTGAATTTTAATGGGAAAAGAATGAAAATGAAAAGTGAAAACTTTTTTTTTTTTTATAACACTGAATTATATTCAGCACAATTATTTTTGCTTTTTTATTTGTAAGTAGAAAATATATCGTATGTTATTTGTAAAAAAAATAAAATAATACAAGGCACTTTAAAAATAAAAATAAAAATGAATTATTTTACTATTATCTTTTTAATTTCCATGTTTTTCTTACGTTATTTTATTAAAACTATATATATAATTATAAAATGTAATGTAATCATATTTTTAAATGCATAGGATATATACATATGAGATATATATTAAAACTTTTAAATTAAAAAAATTTTAATTGTAAAATATAAATTAAAAAAATTAGTTTTTTACATATTAATAAATATAATTACAAATTATATCATCATCATCATAACATTTTGAGTTAAATGTTGGAATTACGTTATATATATGTGTGACCCTGGACCACAAAACCAGTCAGCAGCACGGGTATATTTGTAGCAATAGCCAACAATACTTGGTCAAAATTATCGATTTTTCTTTCGATAGTAAAAGATCATGTTCCATGAAGATATTTTGTAAATTTCCTACTGTTGATATATCAAAACTTAATTTTTGATTAGTAATATGCATTGCTAAGAACTTCATTTGGACAACTTTAAAGGTGATTTTCTCAATATTTAGATTTTTTTGCACCCTCAGATTCCAGATTTTCAAATAGTTGTATCTCGGCCAAATATTGTCCTAACAAACCATACATCAATGGAAAGCTTGTTTATTCAGCTTTCAGATGATGTATATCAATCTCAATATAAAATATAAAAAATATATATAAAATATAAAAAAAATAAAATTGTCATCATAACATTTTGAGTGAACATTTTAATTTACTTTAAAATAAAAAATACAAAAATGTAAATGTTATATTATAACAAGTATTGTTATTTTTTTTATTATTAAAAAAACAGTAAAAAGATGTTCCTTGCACAATCGTTGCACAATTGTTTATTTTATTCAAATTTATTTAAATTTAGTTACATACATGTTTAAAGGGGTCATATGATGCAATTTCAATTTTTCCTTTCTCTTTGAAGTGTTACAAGCTCTTGGTGCATAAAGAAGATCTGTAAAGTTGCAAAGACTAAAGTCTCAAATCCAAAGAGATATTCTTTATAAAAGTTCAGAGTCAGCCACACCTACCTAAAACGGCTCGTTCTAACACACCCCCACGTGTCTACGTCACGATGTGGGAAGATTTGCATAACGCTGCCCAAATGTTCACGCAAAGAAAGAAGGCGTAACTTTTATTCTCGCTGTAGTATTGTTGCTGCCGCCGTGTCGTGAAGGCGCTGTGTGCTTCTTTGTGAAAGCGAAACTACTTTATTTGGTCTTCCAAAAGAGGACAATATCTGCTTCGTCATGCCTGGAGCTGATCCGTGGTGGTCGCTGAGGAAACGCATCAACTTTGCGCTGTGGATCGCCGGATCAGCTAATGGGTTTTAATGTTTTTGTCTCATCGCTCCAGCCGGACGGGGCATCGCAATATGGTAAGGGGCGTAACATTTTCGTCACACGCTTGAGGTATTCGGCCAATCACAACGCACTGGATAGCTGGCCAATCAGAGCACACCTCGCTTTTCAGACCGATGAGCTTTGTAAAAATCGACGCGTTTCAGAAAGGCATAGAGGAGAAACAATAATGTACAGTATGTGGAAAATAATGTGTTTTTTTTAACCTTAAACCGCATAAACACATTTCATTACACCAAATACACAAAATAATGTTCTGTTTAGCAACATCATATGACCCTTTAATGTGACATTTCAAATTGTTTGGTAAAAATGTATTGAATTAATTTATTTTGACATGCTTATGGTTGTCACTATATTTTAAGGTTAAGTTAATTTTGTTGGTTGATTCATATTACCACTTATGTTTATGAATTATACAGCCAGGCACCACAAACTTTAGGGTCACATTTTAACGTCAGATTTTTTTTTCAGTGAATTTGTGTCAACCTACTGTATGCTGTTTTAGCATAAATTATACAGGACTTTTATAGTCTATAAAGGAAAATAAGAACGATCACTTGCAAAGTTATTGACGTGCCACTGCACTGCTCATATAAGACGCTAATGGAAGTCTTGAGCACATAATTGATCTTAAATGGCTGTGCTGTAAGCCCCGCCCACACCACCGGCTACGGTTCACGAACAATAGCAATTTCTGCTCTCCAGTGACATGGTTCACCCAAGTGTTAAAAACATAACTTTAAAAGCCCATGTTGATATAGTGGCAAGCACAACTTAACCGTGAACGTAATTGCAGCTTTACAGCTAAAGGTCCACCCTGCTAGATTAACCCTCTGATCCAGGCCAATTTCAGCTCGTGATTCACACAGCAGTGTTTGCAGTAAATAATGCAGTGAAAATGAAACCTTTAAACTTTTCTTTATGCCCCTGTGTTCAGCATACAGCTTTTTGTCTGGACAGTGAATATGTCAATGAGGCAATTTCCTCAGCAATGTCCCTCAGTTTCTCTCATACAGTAATAATATTATATCAGCCTCCAAAAATAATGACAAGCAGGCAGCAGAATATATCCTTTTTGATTAAATGTTCTATTTATTATACATGTATCCATCTCTGCGGCAAAAAAAACATGTAAATGTACATCAAAGAAAACAAATGATTCATCTGCATAATAACAACATAAACATAAAAAAGAAAGCAAATGAAGCAGCACAAGAACTTGTCAAATCGTTCTCTCAATTTAGGACAACAGCGCCTTCTGTTGGTGTGAAACTGAAGCCTGTGATGAGAGACGGAGTGTCTGTAACGTCATTCATTTGACCTTCTCTTCTATTCATAATTCATATCATGAGAATTAAAAAGATCAATGAAATCAAGCAGTTACAGGAATTACAATTAAAATACGATTGTAAATTCCAAAAAAATAATAATAATTGCACATTGTCAAACATGATGATGATGGTCATATGATTATATATATATATATATATATATATATATATATGCAAAGTTCAGATGCAAAAGCCTCTAAGTGCCATCTGAAATTTTCTTCTAAAATGAGCATTTTTATCAGGCTCCTATATTTATGTTCAGTTATTTCACTTTAATTGCATAGAAATAGACATTACATTGCCATTAGAGTAAAAATATTGAACCTAAACATAGGATCTTGATAAAAATGCTCATTTTAGATGAAAATTTCAGACGGCACTTAGACAGCATCTGAACTCTTCATATATATATAATGAAATATACTACATACACTCAAAGTTTGGGACCAGTAAGATTTAAAAAAATATATATATATATGCATAGGTGACAGATTATACTGTACATTGTAATGGGTTGCTTCTAGACCCATTTCATCCTAAACAACATTTAATTCTACTTCTACTAAGAGGATGAAAAATGGTTATGAAAAGCTAAATTTACCTACATCATAAGTGTACTTTAAGGAAGAACTAAAATAGTAAAAATGTATACGACCTCTTCAAATATTTGTTGCAACTTAGCTGGTGCTTTTTTTCATATTTGTTTGAAATCCATGTACTATTTTCAGACTAAAAACCCATGAGAGATCACAGTATAGAAGAGTTCAAGTGAATGGATCACCTTGGACAACAAACACACGCAGTGCAGCTCTGTCCCTGCTGCTGCGCTTGCTTATGGATTTGCTCCAGGATGTTCCTGTGGAAATAGAGAGGAGAGGAACGTATCTAATGCCAGGTGATGGATTTCTGTTCATGAGAAGGACTTAATGAAAAAGCTCTCAACCACGAGGAGAATGTGTTGGCAATATACATCTTTTCAAACCCCATCAAAGGTGGACATCAAAAACCTCATCCTGTTCCTCCAGAGAGCCGCCTGTGATGACTGTGGAGGTACAGAGAGAGAGAATAAAAGGCTGGGAAAGAGTCACTCAAGTCACTGTGAGTTATTATCATAGTTTACTCTTTAAAAGATAAATAGTACAGTGTACTAGACAGGACATGGATTCTACTGCAGTAGCCTATGTACAATGTTGTCCAAAGACCATTGGTAAAAATGCTTAACATTTTTCTAGTTGAAATAAAACTTTTTTTTTTTCCAATAACAATTACATTCAACTTGACAAAACATACTTTTAACTTTTTTTTAATATTTTTTTATTTGATTTATAATGACATGGCAATGCATGTACATTTACAGCAAAATACTTTTGATTATTCCAATTATTTAGATTTTTATTTTATTTATAGAATATTAGCTATAAGTGAAACATAGCTGTTATTTGCATAATTTGCATTTTTCTAATGAAATAAAAATAATACAAAATGAATTCATAAAAAATCTAATAAAATTAATACTTCACTTTGTCAGGCAGGTCCTATTTAAGAGATTTATTGATTGCGAACAGGTGTGGCAGTAATCAGGCCTGGGTGTGGCTAGAGAAATTGAACTCAGGTGTGATAAACCACAGTTTTAACAGGGGGGCAAACACTTCTTCACACAGGGCCATGTAGTTTTGGATTTTGTTTTCCCTTAATAATAAAAACCTTCATTTAAAAACTGCATGTTGTGTTTACTTGTGTTATCTTTGACTAATATTTAAATTTGCTTGATGATCTGAAACATTAAATTGTGACAAACATGCAAAAAAATAAGAAATCAGGAAGGGGGCCAACACTTTTTCACACCACTGTATATACTCAAAATGTAATCATGATTACTATATAAATTCTAATTATTTTTAATTAAATAAGAATAATTTAATACAAATAAAAAACCAAAATAAAATAAAATAAAAATAAAATTTGTAAGAAAAAAAACAAAAATATTAAAAATAATTTTATAAAATTAATTAATTTGTAATATTAATTTACCTTTTTGTAATTGAAAAGTGCCTTGTACTTTTATTCACAAAGAACATAGATTTTCTACTTACTATTAAAATAATTGTGTTAACTATAATTCATGGTAATCAGAAAAACTAGTTTTAGTATTATTATTATTATTATATAGTGAATAATTGTTAATTGAATAATTAATTGAATAAGTGAATAACTTTATCAATTTAATAAATTTTTAATGATTTTATTTTTATATTTGTAGCTTATTTATTAAATGTGTAGCTAATATTCTACAAATAAAAATAAATATTCAAAATATTGTATAAATAAAATAAAAATAAAATAAATTAGAATAATCAAAACTATTTATTTACTATCTATCTGTATATCTATTTATCTTCCCATTCCGTCCATCCGTCCATCCGTCTATCCGTCTAGCTATCTATATATTGTGATTCAATATTTATGTAAATGTATTTTTTCAATTTAAATTAGATTTTGAATTCCATAATTCTGTTTTGGACCCCACATCTGTAGGTATTGGATTATATAGTGTGTCTTATGTTCAAGTATGCTTGTGTATAAATGTGCATTTACCTGGGGACTCTGCTATCGGCTCTGTGCTGGAGGGAGGTGGAAAGCTGAAAGAGCGTGTGGCTTTAAAGGAAGCGTCACTGTGACAACTGACACTCTGTGCACGCTTACGGCACTCGATGGCCAAACGACTGCAACAGTCTTTATGACAGCTCACCCCACACACTGAAAAAACACAAGAGGAGGGTCACCGGGCCACATAGACACAGGAAAAAGACAAGAGTTAAAGGGTTAGTTCACCCAAAAATGAAAATTAGTCCATAAATTACACACCCTCAAGTCATCCTGGTGTATGTGACTTTCTTCTTTCAGATGAATCAAGTCACAGTTATATTAAAAATTGTCTTTGATCTTTCAAGCTGTTTAATGCCACTCAGCGGGTGTTGCAGTGCATCAGTCCAAAAGAAGTGAAATAAAAAGCGACCATCCATAATAAAAAAATGTCTCACACGGCTCCGGGGGGTGAACAAAGGCCTTCTGTAGCGAATCGATGCATTTTTGTAAGAAAAATATCCATATTCAAAACGTAATAATCACTTTAATGTAGCTTGTGCCAACAGCTGTACATGGAAGCAGCTCCGGGCTGATGACATATGAGTTCAGCATTGCGCATGCGCCGGTGAGTCTCATGAAAACCAACGTTTGTTAACAGGAGCAAAGGAAGCAAAGTTTCCTTACTTTAGCAAAGGAAAACCAGTCTCCTCTTGGCTTAATCTGAAAGAAGAAAGTCATATACACCTAGGATGACTTGAGGGTGAGTAATTTATGAGCTAATTTTTGGGTGAACTAACCCTTTAAGGTCTACATTTGGTTTCATACCTTTGCATTTGCATCGCTGTTTGTAAAATCCCCATATCTGCAAGAATTAGCATACATTAAATAATTCACAATGAGAGAATATAAGAAAAACATGGAACATTTTTTAAAAGGATTTTGGGTGCTTTAGTTTAGTTCGGTAGTGACAGCACATTTTTGGTAGTGAAATCACATTACAGAATTTTAACTAAATGCTACTAAAACATACTAAAATACAAAAAAACAATATAGTCACTACCGAAACTCCACCAAATGTTTCGGTAGTGACAATTTTAGATACTTTTAAACCTAGCTCAAAGAAGCTAATCAGCACATGGTTAGCTAACACAGTTCTGAACAGTGGTATACATATAAAAACTAAACGTTATGAAATAACTCCCAAAAAGTGTGCTTCGCTGCAGAAAAAAAGGTGTTCAGTAGTGATGTTCCTTAAAGTTACACAGATTTTTCAGACTTTTGAACACCTTTACCTTAAAATGATGAGACCTATCTACTCGCACATTGTAGCTATGAGAGAGGGGGACACAGGAATATTTCCTGATCATAAATTTATGGGTTTAGTTCAAATCAGTCTTATTAATCATTTGGTACAATGCACTTATTGTGTACATACATGTTTTTACATTGTACTTATATTTTAAAAAATACCTGCATGTAATTACATCTGTATTTAATTTCTGTAATTACATTTATAATTACACTGTTGACCCATCCCTTACACCTTAACCCACCCTTAAACCTACCCATACAACCAAACCTGTCCCTAACCTTACCAGTTTCCCACCTCAATAGCAGCAAATGTGTTTTGCAATACAATATGAACACAATAAGTACATTGTACTTATTTTTTGATGCAAGTACATAGTAGTTAAGGCCACTTAATATAAAGTGGGACCACATTTTTTTTTACATAAAGTTTCATAATTTACAAATACATTTTTTTTTTAACTTCACTTTTTAAAAGAATCAAAAAGATACTTTTAAAAACAACAATGGAAAAAAATAAAAAAAATTCAATATTTCCATTAGTTGAAATTTAGGGCTTAGGGTTCGGGACAGCCACCTCCCAATTGAAAGTAGCCAATAAATGATGATTTTATATATATTAAGCTTACTAATTATTGTGGGTTTTGATACATAATAGAAGGATCTTAATAAACATCTAAGATTTGAATACTTAAATGCTTCTTAAATGTGTTTTTTGGTTGTGGGACAGCAGTTTGCACCAATTCTGTAGAATGGCCCATATTATATATATATACACACACTGTATATCATTAAAAAAAAAAAATATCTTACTGGTCCCAAACTTTTGAGTGTATGTAGTACATTTATTATTTACACTATTTCATGTGAGTGGACAAAAATACTACTTAATTATTTTACATGTAAAAACTTCGTAATAAAGTAATTTTGTAATAAAAACTTGGCCTGAGTGTACCTTAAATTTAATTACATTGAAAAAGCTTTTCAAAAATACTGGTTCAACAAAAACACCGAAGGAAAAGGAAAACAGGTTCTCTGCTTGGGTGGACCTTGACAGGAAATTAGAAAATAGGAAGTGGTTACGATCTACACCCAACTACCAACTGTAAACATAACATCTTTCCCACAGACAGACCCTTAAACACAACCCTGCTGCACTCGCACCGAAAACAGCACAAGCACTATGAACCTCTGACAGCAGAGTCAAATATGAACGAATGCAAGCCATAAATATGATCTGGCTTACGAGTGATAATAAAATAGGCATTATGTGCATCTGTGCTTTTTGAAATAAATACAGATCTGGATGTCTGTTTTTCATGATGCTGAAAAGATCTTATTTCATCTTTTGTGTGGGTTGTCATCATGTTGAAGATGAAGATAAAGAGACTGAGCCCCAAATAAAACGTGCACTCACCAAACGAGAGCAGTGCCGACAAAATGAAGGCTTGACGCTGCTCATCTCTGTAAACGTGTGAACAAAACCCATCTTACAGTTCTGTAAGGAGCTCGCCTTTGTGAAGTACTCAATCATCTCCTCACGGCTAATTTTACAGTCTCTGGGAGTGAAAATGAAAAAGAGAAAAATGGGACCTTTACTGTAGTGTAGACTGACAAATGAGGGAAAATAATTACTCCAGATAGACTGGACAGATGTCTTGACAAACCCACTGGTTTTGGTCCAGTTCATCAAACTTGCCGAGGTAAGGGAAATTGCTCCTGATGATCTCAAACTCTCCTTGGGAAATGTAGCCATCGCTATCAGTGTCGAAATTTTGGAACACTGACTGAAAGTAAGACATCTTGCAATTAGTTCTCTTTCACCACAAGTTAATTTATTGCACGCTTTTCTGGAATTCTTGTCAAATTTGTGCAATATCACACACAACAGTATTGTTCATTATTTGTTGTTCAGTACAATGGCATGATTGTAAATATGAGATTTCTTTTAATAAGCCAGTCTATAAACAAAAAGTTATCACATAACTTACATTTGCTCCAGTAATGAAAATATTTGCAAACTAAAAGCAGAATTAAGTAGCTTCATGTTTCAAGGTTACATTCCTTTTTGTTTTTGAACAACCCGATTGAGTGAATGATTCAATGACTCACTCATAAGGTCAGTCACTTGTATGATTTTTTGAATGAATCAATGTTTTTGAACAAATCGGCTGAGTGAATGATTTACGTAATGACTCACACATAAGGTCAGTCAATTGTTTCATTCCTGATTCGATTAGTTTTTTGAATGAATCAGTTGAGTGAATGATTCAGTGTTGCATTCATAAGTCCAGTCAATTGTTTAACTCCTGAATGAATCAGTGTGTTTGAAAGATAAGTCACTTGTTTCATTTTTTAAATGAATCAGTGTTTTTGAACAAATTGATTGAGTGAAAGATTTAATGACTCACTCATAAGGTCAGTCAATTGTTTAACTCCTTAACTGAATCAGTGTGTTTGAAAGGTCAGTCACTTGTTTCATTCTTTTTTTTTTTTTTTATGAATCAGTGTTTTTGAACAAATCACTTGAGTGAAAGATTTAATGACTCACTCATAAGGTCAGTCAATTGTTTAACTCCTTAATTGAATCAGTGTTTTTGAACAAATCAATTGAGTGAATGATTATATGTCTCAATCATTAGGTCAGTGAGTTGTTTCATTTTTTGAATGAGTCAATGCTTTTGAACAAATCGACTGAGTGAAAAATTTAATGACAAACTCACAAGGTCAGTCACTTGTTTCATTCCTGATTCAATTAGTTTTTTGAATGAATCAGTAGAGTGAATGATTCAGTGTCACACTCATAAGGTCAGTCAATTGTTTAATACCTGAATAAATCAGTATGTTTGAAAGATCAGTCACTTGTTCCATTTTTTTTAAATGAATCAGTGTTTTTGAACAAATAGATTGAGTGAATGTTTCAATGTCTCACTCATTAGGTCAGTCACTTTTTTAAATTTTTTTGAATGAATCTGTATTTTTGAACAAAACTTTTGAGTGAAAGATTTAATGACTCACTTATAAGGTCAGTCACTTGTTTCATTCCTGTTTGCAAACAATTAGTTTATCTGAAAACCAAATAATTATTCAGAAAAATGATAAGTGAATTGAAAGTAGTATGGGTCACATACCTCCACCAGTTTTTCAATGTGTTTGTTGATGATGGCTGGATCCGCTTTGGGTTTGACTGAAGATGACCACTGTTCTATTAGAGGAGACTGTGACTTTGAGCTGGAAGTCTAAGAGGCCAGAAATCAATGGCATAATCACTTAGCAAGTGAAAATAAGGCACCAGAAGATATGGATAAATGACTGATGTCCATTGGTTGAACAAAATAATTATAGAGTAGTGGTTCAGTCTCCCAGCTGCAAGTCCACGTAAGTAGATTATGCAAGCAACATGGGAAAATTAATCTGTCAAATTGTGTCATGAATGGTTGTAATTGGTGGTTTCTACCTCATGGTGGCCACTGATTTGCTATCTGAGTAGTTTTTGTCGGTGGGGTGACTCACTGATAATTTAATGTTGCGAGGCTCCCTCTGTAGAGATAGCTGATATATCTCATCCTCTGAGTGGTACTGGTCCAAAGACACCTGGACAGGAACAAAATAAATGTAAATTATGAACAATAATTAATAACTGACATAGATTTGAGAAATCTATCACAGGCTATATCAACCTCAATGTCGCCTGCTTAACTATCAATTTACTGAAAATGTTTATAATTTAAACGAACATTTTTAAAAAATGCTATGATTTATTTATAGATATATTTAATTTACATGCATTTATTTTTGTATAAAATCCTACAAATAATTAAAAATAAATTACAAATAAATATGTAAATTATATAAAATATATATGTATGCAAATTTCAAATATATGCTATTTTTTATAGTTTATATTCATCAGAGAATCCGAGAAAAAAAAATATATCACAGTTTTGCCATCACAGGAATAAATTACATTTTAAAATGCATTAAAATAAAAATAATTATTTTATTCAAAAATAATAATCTTGATTACAGCAAACCCATTCCACCCATAACAGACTTACTATAAGCAGATTCAGCAGGTCTGAATTGGCTTCTATACTGGGCGGAGTGCTTTGAATAAGCGCCAGTTCTTCTAGGATGGCATACAATTGATGGGTCTTGGTTAGGTTGACCCTAGTCTTCTCCAGGTCAAACCAATCAGGCAGGGCCACATGGACGGCAATCAGATCCTTCAAATGCACCCCAAGGATGGGGAAGCGGAATCCCGAACATTCTGAGAAGCGCTGACGATAGCGGCTGTAGTTTCCAGAGGAGGTGACCAGCTCCACCAATCCATCAAAGACCTGATTAAACGCAGAGGAGAACATCGGTTAGGCTGAAGCCCGGTGCAGTTGAAATATGAGGAAAGGGGATTTCGGTACATGGGTACAAGATATTCCTGCTCATGTTTGGTTGCCTGATAATAGAACACTTGACTCGAGTATTGATATTTCTGAGCAATCTTGCAGAGAGTATGAAAATGGCACTCAATCCATCTACTGAAAAGTGGACTTTAAGAATCGTATCTCTCATAGCCAGAGTTGGAGTGTTACAGCCGTTTGTTTTTCTTGCCAGTATTGGAGGTGTGTTTACAAAGCAGCTCTCTGGCAGTCCTCACCTTGCGTGTCTCGCTGCCGATGAGTGCCTGCGTATCCTTGAGTCTAGCAATGGAGCTATTGCTGAGCCCACCCACTACAGCCATCAGTGTATTGAAGTTCTGCAGCTGCAATAGCCTCTACACACACACACACACACACACACACACACACACAGAGTACAATGTATATATTCATTTCAAAATCATAAAATTTCTTAATTTTTTTTCAGTTTTAAATTAGATTCTGAATCCCCAGGTCTTCAATGTGGTCTGAGACTTCTGGACCCTGCTGTAAACAGATTACATGTCTTAAAATATAAGCGAGCAAGCGAGTTGGATTAACCTGGGCCACTTTGATGAATTCACTGATGACAGTGGCTCTCTGCTGAGCTGTAGGCTTACTGAGAACCATGATCTGGATCCACTGGGAAACACTGTTAAACAGAGTAATGAAACGCTCCAGAATGGGATTATCCACCGTGCAGCCGTGCATCACGAAACTGTGGTAGTCCTGGAACTGAGGGGGAACGGATTTTTCATTTGCAATATGAACTCTATATTTTAAACTATAAATTAAGAGACTTACCAGAATTTTGCAAAATGATTTGTACTCCATATACGTTAGGTGTTCAGCCAGGGTGGAAGCATCCAGGTGGTCAAAAAGAAGAGAGGTCTTGCGTTTTTTCTGGACAGTTTCATCCAGTTGACGTCGCCATTCGTAAGATGGACTACAGGCAAAACAAACAAAACATTGTATTTCTGTTCCTTGTCCCGTATGCCTAAATATTAAGTACGCAACTTTTTCTATTATATTGGATTATATTAACAGGTCAGTGACATGACACTCTAGATCTATTAATAATATATATATATATATATATATTTGAAAAACATTGTTTTTCTGTTCTTTGTCAAATCAGATCAAAGTTAGTGTGTTGTAACCAACATCCAACATAGAAAACATTTTTAATGTCACCATGAAATAAGAAATAACTTAAAAAGTTGAAGTAGAATTTTTTATGAAAAGAGTTATTTTATATAGGTTTATTTATATATTTCAAGTCAAAAAGAGTAAACATCATGATATTCATTATTTAAAAATGCAAAAAATAATATACACACACACACACACACACACACACATACATGTGTATATTTAAATTAGATAGATATAGAGAGATAGATAGATATCCACAAATACAAATAACTTTTTATTTGTTTTTAACTAGACTTTTCTATCATCTTTGACATTCTTATTTGTCATTGACCTAAGAACTTCTAGCTGTTTGAGTATCTCAGACATGCAGCTTGTTTGTGATGTTCAGTACACTATTCCCCCACATTCTCCAGCCCTCTGTATCAAAGGAGCAGCGGTTTGGGTGAGTTCTGTGCCCCTGTGACTCACATGCTGTCTATGTCGATGAGCAGACTTCGCCTCACATCTCCATTCTGCTCCAGTCGCTCTTTCAGACCGCGGATCTGCTCAGCCAGAGCGGGGTTCAGGTCAAACTCAGCTGGGAACTCAGATATCCAGTACCTGACAGAGAAAGAGAGACGGAAGACAGAGAGAGCTATGACACAGAGTAGCTGTGCATGAAATAGGTCTAGGCAAGACATCAGTAGGACGAGTATTTTCTGTGAATAGTCTTGCCTCAACTGCTTTATGTGAATTCACAATACACCTCTATGATACAACCCAGCTGCCTTATGTCAAAAAGCATCCACATCTTTACAAGAAATATGCACTGCATGGCCAGATAGTATGTGGACACCACAGCCATAGATGCTTTTGAGCTTGAAATAGGTCTGCATAAATGCATACATTTCAAAATGCATGCATTTTACATTAATAGGGAATTCTCCTTAAGGGGCGTTCACATATAACACGTTTTTGCTGCTTTTCCAGTTTTTTTTATGTTAACATGCACTAGATGGACATCTTTGAACACTCCGCTTACATATCATGTCTTCTGCAGCATCTCACTTTGACACTGCAATCTAAAAACGTGCCACTGAAGTCTCAATACCGTGCATTTTTTTCCATTCCACTGCCCTGCATCTCGCATTTTTAAACGCAAAAACGTGTTCTGTGTGAATGGCCCCTAAGGAAATTTGCAAGCTGTGAATGTCAACATCACTGATTGGGCGAACACAGCATGCAGCGTGTTTAAATAATGGTTTTGGACCATTAAATGGCCTTCTTCTTCTAGTTAACATGTTTTCTGTCACATATGTTTTCTTAAATGTTTTAACAAATTACAGCACTTACATTTTTTTGACTCCACTGTCCATGAACATTTATTGAGGCAAAAGCTATTCGGTTTATGGGTTGTTTGTGCACTCATAGTACCACAAATAGGTTAAAGTGCAACTTGCAATATGGCGAAATAAGTCCTGCATTCTAAATAAAACATCCAATAGCCAACTGGTAAGGTTATCGGATCACTGCTGTTAGAAGTTCAATTTGCTATAGAAACAGTTAGAAACTTAGGACTGCACATGTGCATTGGCTGGTCCAGCCTGAAATAAAAGCTTTTTTATACGCAACATTTATGAGAAAGTTCATGTTAGATTTTGTTGTTGATTTGAAATATTTTATTTAAAGAGATAGTTCATCCATGTTGGTAACCAAACAGCTGACAGTAGCCATTGACAAAAAACCACTATGTCAATGGCTACCGTCAACATTTGGTTACCAACATTCTTCCAAATATCTTCTTTTGTGTTCAACCCCAGCAGGCACACAACGTCATAAGACGTTGATATTTGGTTAAATTTCGGTTGCAACGTTGGGTGACCAAAATTCAATGTCAATTCAACATCTAATGTCAATTTGATGTCCAATACCGACGTCAGCTGACATTGATATTTGTTGTTTTTAGGTTGTGTAACCAAAATCCATCATTACGTCAACGTCAATTTGGTATCCGATTTTCATTCTCAACCAAAATGCAAAGTATGTATTTTTGGGTAAACTGTCCCTTTAAATGTAAACGTGGCAAGCAGTTTTTGAGATTTCAGGATTTCCCCATTCAGGTAGATAGGACTTGGTCTTGGATGCCTAAAATAGGCTTTGAAAGGGACTTTGTTCTAATCTAACACCTCATCGTTTCATACTGAGTTTCGTAACACAGGGTTAAAAGCAGCGCTAACCCTCCTTGTGAAACATTGCTTTTAAAGCAGGGTTTAAAAATATGATAACCCAAGGTTAAGAGTCGCATGAAAAAGCCCATTTAAAGCCCTTTGGAGGGGTATTGTGATACTGAAAGAGAAAAGGTAGGTGCCACTCTATTATAAAGCTTTGAATATGATTTACGGCTTTATTCTGTACTTGATTTCATGCACCTGTTACTAATGGGTTTATCTGAAACAGCCGAACCTTGGATGTCTTCAAGCTTTTAGCCATGTAGTATATGTATATTTATTATAAAAAAATAAATAAATAGGTGAACAAATGGCTTTTTAACCTACTTGACAAGGTGACAAATCTGAGACTGGCGAATTGCAGAACAATCCTGTTCCTGAGACCTGTAATACTGTCAAGGTAGCTCACTTCATTACGATTATCGGCTGTTCGGAGAGTGATGGAAACAGTTTGTGATGCAGTCAGCCCTCTCTATAAATAACAAACCCCACCCATGACCGCATGTACTAAGTGCTAAATGTCTAGCAAAAAAGCCGGCCTGTCACCTCTGAAACTAAATGTACAAAGACTTGTATTTCTTTTCAGGTATTTGACATTAATGCTAGTTTTTCGAAATACAGAGTCCTGAGAAAGTATAATGTGACAGGTCTGCTGAAGGAGGATACTTGTGCAGGAGTTTCTTAGCTAGGTCACTGGATGACAGGTACCAGGGATGCATGGTAAGAAACATTCGCACGAGAGATGGCTCCTTCAGAACGCCTTCATTGTCTGCGAAGAAGATAGAAAGCCAGACAGACATTTGCACATTAATTACCATGAATCTATTAGCCTATGA